ACTTCATGATTCTCCCACACTTGCTCCATGTTTGGAGTTGAACTTGGGTGCAAAAGGCAATTGAATGAATATCAATGTAGTACAGCTGGGCTCTTGAGCTCCATATATAGGAGATTAGGAGGGGTATGAACCCTCTGTATCGCCAGTGCCAGATTGAGAGAGTACGATAATGATTTCAGAAGCCGGTTACAAAGACTTTTACAAAAACTCAATAATATACATTCAACCCCTACAAAGCCTTCAACTCCTTCAACTTTTCTATCAATTGGGCAACATTCTCAACTTTAACACCAGCTTGCCTTGCCGGTGGCTCTTCAACTTTCACCACTTCCAACCTGTTGTCGACTGAATCAAGTCCCAAGTCCTTCAACTTTAATTTCTCCAACAGCTTCTTCTTAGCCTTCATTATATTTGGCAAACTGGCATATCTAGGCTCATTCAACCTCAAATCTACTGTGATAACCATTGGTAATCTTGCCTTCAACACATCGGCACCACCGTCAATCTCCCGGGTCACAAAGACCTCGTCTCCTTTGACCTCAACTTTCGACGCATTCGTCGCTTGTGGCCAATTTAATAGCCCGGCAAGCATTTGTCCCGTTTGGTTCGAGTCATCGTCTATGGCTTGCTTTCCCAATACTACCAAATTTGACTTTTTATCCTCCACGACTTTCTTCAACAACTTGGCCACTTGTAATGGTTCCACTGTTTCTTCACCCACATCAATTAAGGTCGAGGTATCGGCACCTTTAGCTAATGCAGTTCTTAGAATATCCTGAGCTTTTGTTGGTCCAATTGACACAGCATGTATGTTCTCGACCAACTCAGGGGTCCTTTCCTTGAGACGAATCGACTCCTCCAAAGCAATATCACAAAATGGGTTTATACTGAATTTAACACCCTTGGTCTCGATTCCCGTGTTTGTCTTATTGATTCTTGGTTTTATGGCATAATCAATAACCCTTTTGACGGGAACAAGTATTTTCAATTTGCTGGACATTAATGGCTGTTTGTTCTGTTTGTACGGGATCCGGAAAGCTCTCTCAAATTTTTCTTCTCTTTTTCAATTTTTTGTTTTTTGTTTCTTTTTTATTTTTTTTCGCAAACGCAAAACGAGTTCTCCTCCGATGTAGGAATCAAAGGTAGCGCCGTTCGCTTTAAAATTACTTACGAAGCTATGTATATAATTTATTCCACATTCAAAGGGGTCCTGGCTCTTGCTTTCATTCTCTCGATCCTTTTCTTCAATTGCTGAGTCACCTCTGCTGCTCGTTTCCAATCATCACCGGCATCGACATCCAATTTTTCTCGATTGCTAGATATCGAATGAAACGAAGGTCGGTTGTACCCAATTCCCCCTTTCTCTGCGGCTGAGGGGTGTTTGATTTGCTGGTCCAGTTCAGTTAATGACAATCTGTGAACGCCTTTTCTTATATCTGGTTCCCGGTTGCTGGAGTTGTCATGATCTGGATGTACGACTTCGCGAGCAAGATAAGTTTGATTAGACTGTTGGAGTTTGTTGATCTCTCTTTCAGTTTCAAGATCTTTCACTCTATGGTTCACTTTATCCAATTCTATCTTTAAATTGTTGACTTGTGTATCTTTGTGACTAATTGCGATTGAGCTGGATCGCATTTCGTTCTCGAGTCGGGAGTTTAATGAGCTGACTTCCTCCTTCAAAGACACGTTTTCTTGATTGAGTTGGTGGATCAACGATCGATCTTGTTGTTGCTGCTCCTGGAACCTCTTTACTTCTTGTCTCAATTTTTCCAACTCTTGCTCCATCTTTGGATCAACAACATATTCAATTTGAGGTGGTGCTGCTGGTGGTGGCGTAGAAGCACGTTGTACAGCCTGTGGATGCGACAAGTTTACATGGTTGCTTGAAAGTGAGTTTGAATTAATAGCTTTCGAAGGGCGAAGTGAAGTAGACGTTGGCTTGGACAATGATCGCGAAGTCAACCCCTTGCCCAAGTTAGATGCCTTTCCGTCGTCACCTCTCTTTGCAGGTGAGCTGGCTTCACGTTTCGAAGGTATTGTCGACGAGCCGGAAGAAGATATCCTACCCGGTTGTGAGGTGCGTGATGAAAGTGACTTTTTAATCGGTACAGTATTTGATGATGGTGCAGACCCAGCTTGTGGGGAGGAGCATTTCACTGTTGCTGATTCATAAACTTTGAATATTTTAGCTCTCCTATTGTCATCGGTTTTGTCAAGATATTTGTTCAATTCTCTCTCACCAGTTATTTTCATGAGTGTCCCGATCAACTCCGTAGCCGCATCTCTGATCAGCTGTTGGGAGTCACTGAGTAATCTGAGACCCGCCGGCATAATCATCTCAACCTCAGTTGATTTCGGTGGTGTAGAAACGTGGGCAAGGCACCTTTGAAGGAAATTAGCACACGCAATCTTATTTTGGGGGACTTTAAGTGTCGTCCCTGCCACAGCCTCTTCAAGTATCGAGCCACCAAGTCCAGATATGGAGAACATTGTATCCAAAAAGGTGTCCAATGCTGATGCTACAGATGGTTTTTTCTCTTTGGTTCTCTCTATAACCTGTTTGAGAATGATTGGTTGATATTTCGTCCAATCCTTGCCCAATCCTTTGGCGACATGGTTTGCGCAGGTCGCAGCCAATTGAACGACTTGAATGTTAGCATCGTCCATGTTTTTTGCAAATATTCTCACAAGTGGAGCGTAATCCTCATTCTTAACCAACTTTGGAGATTTCTCAAGTACCGCCTGAACCTCTTCCAAAACTTCGACCCTGTCTTTCCATTTCGCAGATGATATCCTGGTTTCAAAGTCTCCTGGCAATCTGCTCAACACTTCCACCGGGTCAACAAACTCCAATGGATCGTAATTGGTTTCAGGTACTGTCGCGTCGTTCATTTCCACATCTTCTTTTTCCTGTCCCAGTGACTTAGATGCAGCACTGGCCCCTTCTTCTCTGGCTAGTTCATCCTTTTGGGTCTTGGTCAATCTCTTTTGCTGTGGTTTCTCATTCTTGACTGCCTCAAATGCCAGAATCAAATCTTTTTGTTGCACAGGTTTCAAATCGGGAAACAAAATGGAAGTTAATGATTCTCCCATCCACTTGTACAATTCCACTGTCAACTTGGTAGTCTCTGATCGAACGTTTTTATCTGCATGCGCAAACAATTTACCCAATGACGGAATGACTGCTTTGGGAGGAACTATCTTGCAACCAAAATTCTCGTAAATTGCATCCAATGCTGTCACACAACCAGCAACCAATTTCGGAAGCCTATTTCCAAGATGCAGAGTAATCTCCTCAACTAATGACTCAGGGGTATCAATGTATTCAACCATTATCAAAATACTCTCAATAGCGCTCTCCTTCGTACCCTTTCTTGAAGAAGATAAACCCTTCTCACAAATTGGTTGAACGATTCCAATAGTTTTAACAAGGCGACTCGCCACAGACGCGTTGCCTCCAAATCTCAAATAGTTGATAAAAGCCCTGTATCCAGCTTCTTGTGCCACGACATTGGAATCTGTCAAAATTTTCTTGAATACATCTGGTGGCTGACTCGTAAACACAGGATCGTGATCATTACGTGACAACTCAAATTGTTTCGAGAGTTCCTCATAAGCACTCAATCGCGCCTTCCATACTTTGTGATCCAATCTCTCCTCAAGTGGTAGGTTCGTGTAATCCACTTCTTCTGCCATGATTACTGGTCGATGAATTTGATACGGTGTGTGTGTATGTGTGTAATGGGAAACAAGTGCTTAAATTTTTTGGAATGTTTATATTTTCGAACGCACACGCTTTGTTGATTTTGTGTACTTGGGAACAATCAAATTGGAATTTTTAACGAAAGAAAGGAACGCTCACAAGGTGAGATGATCTCCATCCAAATGCTCGAGAAAAGGACCCGGCTGCTACCTTGTGCGTGCTTAGGTGAAATTGAATGATGTACATTGCTATAGAGGACTAGCCCGATCTACATAGCCACTTTTATCTAACACTATAGCTAGGAACATCCCACTACCGGCAGCAAGGCGACAAGTATATCCACCTCCGTAGTTCCGCTAGCTCACAAGATGTTCTCTATTTTCGTTTTTTTTCTTTTTTTTTTTCTTCCTGGATAACGTCCACTACTAAGCTCCTTTTTTGGCGGTACTAGCGTAAATCTCATCAAGGGGCTTTAGTTTGAATCCCCAGTTTTCCTCACCTGGTCTGTCAACATAGTATTTCTTCAAATTGACTTGATGGTATGGATGATAAGCCAAGTTGAACCAAGGCAATATGAACAAAAACGAACTACTGTATTGTGAGTTCCTGTTTGCGACGTCTTTAGACCTATCGTCCAACGTACTTTCATTTTCATGATATGGTAAAATTCCTTGACTCAACAACTTCTTTACTTCATACCTGTCCTTAGCCACCTCTCGAGAGTTTTCTCTCCATCCAAGAAAACGTTGACTTGTTTTCACATAAGCCAAAAAGAAACCACCAACGAACCCAATTGCGGTTGCAGCACGGTAAGTTGTACCAGCAATAGGAGATGGTTTCATGCCCTTACCCAATGATGGCTCCAATCTTTCCCAGACATTAATACCAAGAGGAACAAGAGCTGTCGATATACCCCAATTTAAATAGTCTGATGGACGAAAATAACGAACAACTTTGGTGAAATATGGATCCCCATCGATGAGCTCGTAGTCGCTCAGAATTGGAGCAGCTCTGACTGGAGTGTTTGAGGGTGTGTATGACATTGCGCTTTTTCTAGATTGATAGTTCCACTCTTACACCATCCGTGTGCTTACTCAACTTTTTTTTTTTTTTTTTCCTTTTTTTCGTCACTTTTTGATTGGTAACATGAGGTTGGTAGCGTGGGCCTGTAGCTGGTTTGCTGGGGCGGTAGCGTGGGCTCCATGTAACCGATAGAGTAGAGAGAATTGATAACCGTAACATGTAGTGCCGAAAGTGACCAAATCGCCATTTGACCATGCCTATACAGTTAACAGAAGATGATTCGGACTCACCTAATAGAAAGCATCCGCTTACGAGACTAGTTAACAGCGTGCGATGTTACAATATCCCACTATTAAATTTCCTAATCATTTTAATCTTGGGTACATTTTTATATAAATTGACAACAAAGTATACAAATTTGTACATGAAATCATCATTGGTAACTATCATTGTGACAAATTTGGTGCTTTACGGAATTTCCGAGAGTTTAGCGCAGCTGATTTTGAGCTATCGACCGGGGCAACCAATGATCTCGTTTCGATTCAACGACCCTACGCAACCAATTGCACTTGACGTTGAAGAAAACACCGGCATGGAGCAGGAAGATGCTGGAACCGATGATGATGATGATGTTAGTGTTGATGATCAAGGTTTGGACCGTTTCATTGACTATCTACGAAGAGATCACGAAGGCGATCAAGAGCAAGATCGTTTCAACAATGATCTAATAACGTTCGTTCCGATGACGTATTTCCAATTCAACCGCTTGGCTGGGTTCATGTGCTGGGGGTTCATTATGGGATTTGTTCAGTGCTGGTGGTACAAGTTCCTCCAAATATATTCCAAAGATCCTAAATTCATTGAAGTTTTGAGAAAGGTTATGACTGATCAATTTTGCTTCTCACCAATTTCACTATTTTGCTTCTTTACTTATGGTACAATGGTATTAGAGAACGGGACTTGGGAAGATACTAAAAAGAAGTTGAGCGCCATTTATTTAAAAACTTTAATGATCAACTACTCAGTTTGGTTTCCTATACAATTTATCAATTTTTTGATTGTACCACGGGATTTCCAAGTTCCATTCAGCTCGTCAATTAGTGTTTTATGGAACTGTTTCTTGTCAATGAGGAACTCAGCAAGTTAAAAGAATATACTAGATGTATATGCCCAAATTCGAGTAACCATTGAATTTTCTCACCTTGGAGCTTATGCTCTTCACATACTCTTCCTTGTTGATGCCAATTATCTCGCTCAAAACATACGCAGTATCAATGATAGCATCGTTATCTGACTTTTCAAAACCCAAAGGCCCTTCTGAGTTCAACACCAACGTGATGGCATTCTCCGTGTTAGCCACATCCAATTGTGAGGTAATGGCCGCGGTAATGCCGGTTATTGAATGTGGTGGTCTCAAAATTGGCACCTGTGACAAAAGTGACAATGAGGCGTCAGTTTTCAAAAGTAGCTTGTTTATCGATTGGTTATTGTTCAAGTTTGAGGGGGCAAGTAATATCCAACTAATCAGAGGATGCAATTGTTGCACCAACTTCCTCGCAAGAAGATTGTAGACAATTGTGTTGGTAAAATGTGGAGCAACTATCGAAAGAACGCCATTGGATAGGTAGATTGGTATATGCTCTGTTTTAAACTTATCCTTGAGTGCTTCATTTTGAAGAGCCGCGTACAACTGTTCATCTTCATCGTATTCTTCCTGTTCTTGCTCTGATGAAATGTCCTTTATTGAGCTTGAGTAGTCAATTGCTATTTTTCCAACACTGTTATTATTAGGTAATTGATCTTGTACCAAGCTTACTGTTTGAGGTACAATCAATGCATAATCGTATTTGATACTATCCTCAATCAATGTGATTTTTATGTCTGGGATGGGGTTTGGTTTTGCATTCGAGTCATCATCATCCAACGTATGGCGAGGGTTTCTGGTTTCAGTAATTGGTTTTATCTGAACATGGGTCAGTATGAAGACTTTAAGCACTCACTTGATGGGCTGTACGTACCAACATCTTTTGATGTTTAAAAGTGCTTTTGCCATCCTAGTGTGGGATATATTTTGTATGCGCACACAAATGAAATTTGTAGTCATCAGAATTGATATCAATTGAAATGATGTTCAGAATTTACTACGCATGGTGAATAGAGGAAATTAAGCTGGTAAA